CCTTTGACTTTTAGAGAAAACTAAATACAACAGACAATGAAAACAATTTCAAAACCTGCCATGTATCAGAGTTGTAGGTCATAGCTTAGGACGCATTCTATCAAAACCACATAACTTTTGACTGTGTCATTCCAGTAGGTTTAAACTTTTAAGTTCTCTACACATAAAATAAACGTATCAGAGTTGTAGGTCATAGCTTAGGACGCATTTTATCAAAACCACGTAACTTTTGACTGTGTCATTCCAGTAGGTTTAAACTTTTAAGTTCTCTACACATAAAATAAACTTAGGAATAGTCTGACAAGTAGCCCCAAATCTAACCCTTTGGCTTATTTCAATTTAGCTCGAGTAATACAACAGCTTTGGTTTCAGAAAAATTAAATGTGGGAGGCACGATTGGACCAATAGCATTGAAACATCTTGAATGTGATCTTAATCCACACATTTGCTATCCAGACATAATTAAGAATTGGCAGGTTTTCACATACAGCATGTTGGTTGTGTAACTTCTCTAATAAGGTGCTGTCTGTAGCTTGAGGAAAATGGCTTTCTTCATTGATAAGGGCCAGGAGGCCAAGTTTCTAGAAGAGAGAAGAAAAAGACTGAATGAATGAGTTAAAAGTTGAATATGCCTTTGAAACTATTCAGGGCTCCCTTCCTCTCCACTCTCTATCAAGTTAGTGGTTAAGGAAAAGGCACAGTGATTTCTTAGACAGAAAAATTCAGAATGATACACTACAGAGAAAACCAATTAATTTAAATTCTGCATGAATGTTTTAAAAAATTGAACCCATTACAATTTTGTGGATAAAACTTTTACAACTGGCAAATCTACTACTGGGACTGGCAAGGCTTTGCTGCTGAATTAAGATCTCAGTGAGCCAATTCACACACTGTTGACTCTGAAATATGAGTTCAATGAGACAATAGGTTTTGAAGCAGCCAAGTATTTAAATTCAACCTTGCACATTTACACTTATGTTTCCAAATGGTCCATTGTGTTCTAAACATTCACATCTTTGATGTGCATGTTTGCACAAGTTATTTTGTTCCCATAAATATGAATCAGCCCAGCTGGGCACCCCTGGGACTGTAACCATTCTTCAACAATCCATTACCTTCTCAATCAAGTCAAGGCATTCTCCATTGTCTATCCAGTCAATATCTTCCCACACTAATCCTTCCCTGTAGAATGATGAAAAGGGGCCAAGTTAAATTAAAATGAAGCATTAAAACTATCTAACGTGGCTGCTGATTTAAAAAAAACAAAAACAAAAAACTTGAAATGGAATCCTATGAGTGCTTACCTGCTATATTCTAGTTGCTCCAAAGAAAAAATATGCTTGTTAAAGTATTCCTGAAGTTTCTCATTTGCATAGTTTATATTGAACTGCTCAAAGCGATTAACCTAAGGAGAGAAAACATTCCACAATGTTAGTGCACTATTACACCTAAATATGAAAAAAGGCAAAAAAAAAAAAATGCAGAAAAAAAAAAATCCAAGTTTGTTTCAAGTGATTTGTTTAATAGCAGCTAATGAACGGATAAAAAGGAATTCATGGGTCCCCCTCTGAGGAAGCCTACCTCGAAGTTTTCAAATCCAAAGATGTCGAGGATGCCAATAGATTTGAAGTCATCTTTGCCTTTGATCCTGCTATTGATCTTCATGATCATCCACTCGAAGCAGCGTGCATAAAGTGCCATGGCCAAGGAGTCTCTGCTGTCTACTGCCTGCGGGGAGAGGAAACACCAAACACACAGGTGACCATGGCAGCCCAAGCAGGCATGTCCATCCTTGCCCCACCCAGGAGACACGCCACACTGGGGTTGCACCTGGGCCCCCCAATGTTCAGTAAATCAATACCATCGAGGAAAATGTAGATATCTAAAGAAAGTGTGCTCTAGTATATCCTTTATTCAGATATCTGTATAACCCACATAAACAAAACTCTTTGGGGCTCTATGCTTCTTTTATTATCTATCATCTTCTTATTTTCTACTCAGAACACATAAAGGTTTTCTCCATGATATGGTTAGCATTTTTATTTATCAAATTAAGAAACATATTAGAAGGGCTAGCACATATCAATTGGTTCAAGGCAGTAGCAGAGACAAAAACAGATACAATGTACCACTGCCTGTTTTCATGTATTATAATAAAAATAATAACACATTCTTATAGCTAATGTTTATTTAGTGCTTAATCTGTACCAGACATTAAATACTAAGCATGTATTGGTGGTTTTCATCCTTACAAGAATCCTACGAATTAGGTATGATAATTATCCTTGTCTTACAAGGAGGAAACTGAGGCACAGTAAATAAATTTCTTAAGAATAGACAGTGGTAAGTGGAAGGGTCAAGACTTAGACTCAGGTGATCTGCATTAGATCCTGTCCTCTTAAACACTATGTTACA